AGAAACTGAAAACATTTGGATATGGCTAGATAAAAATATGTAGGTATGGAGGGTTGGAAAAAGAGGGTGGCTTGTTGTTAGGTTTTTAGAAAAATACAGAATGGCTCAGGAAAATGTTTCTCAAAGTGTGGACCCAGACATCAATTAGCATCAGCATTTCCTAGGAACTTGTTAGGAATGCAAATAATCAGGCCCCACCCAAGACCAAGTGAATCAGAAACTCTGAAGAATGGGGTCAAGGAGTCTGTATTTAAAAAACCCTCCAGGTGATTTGTTACAGACTAGAGTTTGAGAATCAGTGAGTTAGAATGAAAGTGAGAGGATGAGATTTTAGAAAGAAAATCTTCATTGGAACTTTAATATCCCTGGTGGGAAACAAAGTTATCAACTAAAGTGTTGGTTGTGGTATTGGAGAAGCAGACATGAACAGATTCAATTAAGTGTTTCAGACAGCTAGATATGTCAGCATGGTAGGAGCATGAAGGAATAAGTAATAGGTTTTTGGGGAGCATTGGGGGGAAGTGAGAGAGAGAAGTAACAATTACCTGTGATTTGAAAATGGATCAGATAATAATGAGAATGAAATGGCAAGAGAAGCTGGCCAAACAAAACCCAGAACCAGTCACCCCAAGGACTTCATAGTGTCTCTTGTTCTATCTCCACATCATCCTGGGCTATGTAAGTGGCATCCTGCCTGAGAAAGATGTTCTCAAATGATGTCTATCTCATCTCACAAGCCAAGAGAAACCCCATGCTTCAGAACTAAGCAGCTGCCTAGCAATCCCGTATCTTCCAGCTAAAGATTGAATTCTAAACAATTGTTCACCATAGTGGTCCACTGCGGTAATTTGCCAGTTCAACAGCCATTTTCCTTCTTCCTCTGTCAGAAAATTATTCTGAGTAGCCATGTGCCCAGCTCTCAGAGTATGAATTACGATTAGATATGTCAACCATAGCTGTTTCCCTTTTCTTCTGAGCATGGGACCTAGTTCAAGCCAATAAAATGGAACGATAGGTAAGTCTGTTGGGGGCTCCTGGGAAAGATTTTTCTCCTTGTTAAGAGAGTAAAACACCCTTTTGCTCCCCCTCTGCTCTATACTTTGGGTGCTGTTATGTGTCGGAGTGGTACTTGAATAAAGGGGCAAACCTGAGAATGGAAGGTAACACATACAGGATGGCAGAGAGTTAAAAAAAAACAAAAAAGCTTCTTCTGAGCCAAATTTGTGTTAGCCTGTGTCTTCTCTTTAAGGCACTCATAGCAGTGTTTTTAGTCTCTTATAGCCAAAAACATTCTTAACTGATTACTCATCCTCTAGCAAACTATCAGAACTAAGCTTGGTATGCCTCTCAGCCTTCTTTACCTCAGACATCTACATTTTTTGGCCTCTTTTGGAAACCTGATATCCATTCTGCTCTGTTAATCCTCTAACCTGGCCCTATCCTTTTTTACCTTCCTTAACTTTACCACTGTGCCTTCTTGAAGTTCACCTTCTGTGAAGTGTGAACTTCCTTGTACTCTCAACCATGTCATCACATTGCTCCAGCTGATGCTCATTATGCCTCAAGGTCTGTAACATCTGTAGTGCTCTTGAGGCCAGTTATTTTTTCCCCACAGATGAGCATTGTCTTACTCTCCATTGTCTCTTCTACCTAATTCCTTTTTGCTTCCCAGCAATCAAAGCTCTTTGAAGTACATAGTACAGGGCCTCAGACTTTACCACTCATTTCTACACTTAGTTGACATCTTCTTTCAAATTACAGGATGCCCCATATTTTTTATAACTTTAGCCTCTGGCTCACTCTTCTTTCCACCTTTTTTCCTGTTATTCTTAGTGACTTCAACATATTCACAGAGGTCCATCCCACACTTGGGCCTGTTATTTCCTAGACTCCTGAAAGCTAACAGTCTTATCCTTCATCCTACTCAGCTGTAACTCTGAGGAGGAGAGGGAGAATCAATGGGACTTAGCCAGGTCTCTAGACCCCTAAAACTAGTCTTTTTTGAACTATACCATAATGCCTTCACAATCAGTGTTGTGGTGACATCAGCTCAAATGTCTCTGTATTTTATAATGGCTGACTCTAGTAAAGATAATTGGGTATAAGGTTTTGTTGTTGTTATTGTCTGAAGGTTGATATCCCAGGGAAAATTATCATTGAAGAAAAATCAATAGCAGCTTCCGTAAATATCAGCATAAAATGCCATTCAAAACAATTATAAAAGGTTAATGATATCTTGTTTTAAGTATTTTAAAATAAATTATCAGATGAAATAGAAACTAAATGACATGTTTCCCATGAAGTGACAAAATGATTAGCTAAAGCTGTTTATAATCTTTAGTAAATATATGAAAAAAAGCTTCTAATAGTCAAGCGAGAATGTTTCAGACTGTATATTCAAAATGCACCCCTCTATCCCAACACAATGAGTCCTTTTCATATATGTGAGCATTCAGTATAATTATCAAAGTCATCACTGAACACTTAAATAAGAAGAGGTCAAAGGAGGCAGAGAGAATCTAATAAGGATTTATAGTAAAGTACTCTTTTATGGAGACATTATTGGAGTCATTTGTTTTCTGATGAAGTAAGTGAACATCCAGAAGACAAGTTCAGATACGCCAGGGCATCTTGAAGCAAAGGCTTATGACTGATCTTGGGTGGTGTCTTTTTGGTAACCATGGTGATGTTGGATGAGCTCAAACATTGCGTGTTAGAAATTCCTTAAGAATGAGTCAGTAATAAATCTTTTGCCTTTGGTAAAATTGGGCTGAAATACTTTTGAAATCTATGCTTGAAGACTCAGAATCATAGAAATTTCACCTAATGTTGATTAAAGAAAAAATGACTCTTAGCTATTCATTTCCAATCAATCAATCAATCCATACGTAAGTAAAAAAAAGATACCATACAACAAATTTGAAGTCCAGTGAGTCTCTTGAGCAACTGATATTTCTTAATTGGATTAAATAACCCCAGTCCACTGACTTCTCAAAACTATAATTGTATCCAAGTGTTCCAAAAAATTCTTCTGCTTAGAGATGAGTAAGACATGTGTACATTCTGTGAATTAGTTCATGATTAATCATTTTAATATGGTCTATTCCAATAAGATGGTAAATGTATTACCTCAATATATTTCAGCAACTGATGGTGTGTCAAAATCTTTAGAACTTCTTAGGCCTCAGGAAAGAAATCTCTCTCCTCTCTCTCATAACCACTCTGTTCTCAAGTACCCACTGCTGATTAGGGGATAAGAGGATCAGAAATCATCATTATACCTTGTAATATCCAAGATGGTGGTTCTGCTGAAGGGAAAAAACACATTTCTTAATCTCTGTGGTGCCTTTATCATGTTTCATATTCTGGTAGTCTTTCCCTTCCAGTCTAGTTCTTTTCAGGGTGAGCGTCTCTCTACTGCAAACTGCACAAATGTGGTTGTTAAATGCCTGCTATGTTGAGTATAAAAGGATAAACTATATCTCTGAGAACTAGAACTAAATGGGATTTGGATTATAGAGATTTCCATTTATTGAACAATAGGAAATAAATAGAACAAAAGGTTATTCTTCATTATCTACTTTTGAAGAAAGTAATGCATGACTCTAGATAAAAACTTTTATTACTTCTCTATCTTTCACTGCAAGAGAAAGACTTAATTAATTCATTTACTTATTCTTTTGTTAAGTGTTCACAGGACAAAGTATTTGAAATTTTTTTTTACTTAACAATTTAAAATGGCAGGGAACTTTGAAATCTCTCTCATAGAGAGTTCATTAAAGGCCAAATTAAAAATAGATCAGAATAAATACTGTATGATCTCACCTATAAGTGGAGCCTAATCAACAAAACAAATGAGCAAAATAGAAGCAGGGTCTTGGAAATAAAAAACAAACTGATAGTGACCAGGGGGGCAAGGGGAGATAAATAATGGGGGAAAGAAGGAGAATGGGCAAGCAAAGGAACAGGAGTAGAGGACTCATGGGCATGGACAATGGAGGGGGGGATTGATGGTGAGAGTGGGGGGGGATGGAGTAGATAGAGGTGAGTGATAAGGAAAAACGAGGGACAACTGTAACTGAACAACAATTAAAAAAAAAAAAAAAAAGAACGAAGAGGCAAACCTAGTGGCTCTGTATCTCCCAGACAAAGTACTTTATTCTCCTAGGAAATTCCTAATTATACATGCAGTTATCCTCTTTGGTAGTGAATTATGACTTTGGTCAAATTCCTTGGGCCTTTACATCCCCCCAACCAGTCTGATTTTACTTCAACCTCAGAAGACAGGAGGCTGGGCGGGCAGACATATAAAGAGTGGCCATGTCAGTATGCAGAGAAATTGTTTTAATTTATTCCCACTTAGCCATGTTGGGGGCTGGAAACCGATTTTAAGGAGAATCACTCAGTCAAGCAAACAGGAACTGAAAAAAAAAATCAACATTAAATTATTTTGGGTATGTGTCACAGAAAACTATAACAGAAATACTTCACAGTGGTGGGGGGGAACTCATGATTTCCTAATATAAGGAAAAAAATGAATTTACCACTATTTCCTTCCTTTTTACAATAGGTTGCCATGAAAAAATTCTTAGTAAGCAAAATAGACTTGCAATTCAAGTATAAAAATCCTTGTTAGAGTCACCTCAAAAGAAGACAGTTTTCCCAAACTTCAATTAAAATGACATGTTTTCCTAAAAGAAAAAAAATTCCAACATGACTTGAAAACTAACAAATTCCTTGATTTTAAAATTTCATAAAACTTATAGTGAAAGCCTAGTTTCTGTTCCGTCTTGTCAGAAAGCAGCCTTTGTTTGGGTAATTTTTAATCCTTGGAGACAGCGCCCCCTGCTCTAACAAGTGTTTAATTGCAGAAGGATTTTTTTTTCTCCTCTCTAATGAAAAGGATATGAAGAATCAAGGTACAATTATTAAAGTGAAAGAAACTTTATTTTGAATAATAATATGCATGTCATTAACTTCATTTAATTTTCATAGTGCATTGTGTATGTAACTATACAGGGAAAAATAAACATTAGGAATACTTAAGGATGGAAGTATATGGGTGAAGAAGACATTCGATATACCCATGAACAGGCTTTAGAAGGGTCATAGGGCAATATCTATTAGAAAAGAAAAAAAACTATGCAAAAGAAATATACCCAAATCACAGCAGGCAATTGCAATCAGTACAAATTATAGTTTCTTGGGTACACAAAGTATATGTGTTCTTTGGATTGAAAACATAATATAAATGAGTAATTTTTAAGTCCATGCCAAAAATCATCTATAGAAATAAAGTGTGGATGCCACATGTGACAATAAAATATTCAAGGTCACATATGAAGGTCACCAGCTTACAAAGAGAATACTGAGAGGTAGGAAAAATTTATTTTTTAAAAAGGGAAATGCAATAAAGCCACCTCTACCTAAATTAGGAAATAGCAAATGCATCTCTCTATCTTATGCTGCATTTCTATTTCCTCTGTCAAAAGAATTTACTGTGTATTACTACAAAGCTCAGTGAATATGATGAAGCAATAAATGTAGCTTTGGCATTAGGGCAAGTTTCATTTCTTCTTCATTTTACACTAAAGGGAAACAAGAATATAGAACTAGAAATGCTCATCTCTCCATTCATCATATTAACTTTTGTTTCATATATACTTTTTGGCACATGGGGGATAGGGATAAAAAGATTAATTAAACTCAAGCTTCCAACTCAGTGATTTTACATCCGAAAAGGTAAAGAAAGATAACATTCTTTATATTTTAAAATCAAATGCTTAAAACAGGTTTTAAATTGTGAGATGAAAAAAAATGGTATGGGAAATACAGCAAAGAAAGATATTTAACAAAATCTTCTAGTATCCTTCATAGTTTCTTTTTTTCCATTTATTTTTCCAAATTGCATTTTACAGTAGAAATGCAGACCACTTTGGATAGCTATGGCTCAATACTGCTTGGTGCTCTCCTCTTAACACATCATTTTCTTACACTCCACTGAACAGAAAACCATGCCTTCTACTGGCATGAACTTCTGCCCAATGAGACACTTGCTGCAGCAGGAACACAGGAAGCACTCTGTGGATGCATGCCAGCTGAAATTGTTGTAGGTCACTCGTTGTACTTCAGGATCAATGGCATTATGGCATCCTTGACATACCTATTAAGTTAAAGATACAAATGAAAAAGAGAATGAGAATGACTTTCCAATTAATCTTTTTAGAAAACAACTGTTAATGGGACCTATGTGCAGAACACTGTGAGAAGTAACAGGTGAAGAGCAAACAGGTAATTTGATGCTTATAAAATATCCCCATGGTATTCAAGGCAGAAAGCCTTGATGGTGAATTACAAAGCAGTGCATTTGGTCCCAGCATATTCTATGAGACTGTACGTTAGTTATTATGTTTATGATTTTCCCTACAACACCAAATTCTAAGAAGGATGTAGAGCAATAGGAGCTCTGTCATTGCTGGTAGGAGTGCAAAATGATACAGTATGGAAGGTAGTTTGGCAGTTTTTTATAAAACTAAATATATTCTTATCAACAATCCAATAATCATGTCCTTTAGTATTTACCCAAGAGAGTTGATAACTTATGTCTACTCAAAATTCTGTATCTGGATGTTGCCTTATTCATAACTGCAAAAACTTGGAGGCAATCAAGATTTCCTTTATAGGTGAATGAATAAACTGTGGCACATTCAGACAATGAAATGTTATTCACTGCTACAATGAGCTATCAAGTCATAAAAAGACAAGGAGAAAACTTAAATGCAAATTACTAAGTGAAAAAAGTCCATATGTAAAGCTATATACTGTATAATTTCAATTATGATATCCTAGCAAAGGCAAAACTATGGACAAAATAAAAAAGAATCAGTGGTTGCCAGAATTGTGGCATGGGGCGGGGAGGTGGAAGAAATAAAGAGATAAATATGCAGAGCACAGAGGATGTTTAGGGTAGCGAAAATACTCTGTGTGACAGTAAAATGATGTGTGTGTACACATACATAAAATTACATATGTGTACATAATATATATTGTGTACATATATACACATATGCATATATACCATTTGTTTATTCTATACATTGTCTAAGTCCAAAGAATGTACACCAAGAGTGAACCCTAAGGCAAACTATGGGCTTTGGGTGATTAGGATGTGTCAATGTAGATTTATCCTTGGTAAAAATGTACCACTGAAGTAAGCGATATTGATAATGGCCAAGGGATATGTGTGGGGATAAGAGGTATATAAAAATTTCTATCCTCCTTTAAATTTTATTGTAAATGTAAAGCTGGTCTAAAAAAATCTTAATAAAAAGCTTTTCCTCATTCATTAAAGCTTTGAAGTGGTAATTTTATTAGTCTTACCTGTGACACATGAGACTATTAACAGCACTAATTTCTAGACAGTAATTGAAAATCATGCTCAAAGTAATTAAGGACTTAATTAAAAATACTGACAGTATGTGAGAATAGTTTGCACTAAAAATATAATGTAATTAATTGGCTTCTGTTTTGTCATGTCATAATTTCTGAATAATCTAATATTGTAGAATGTTAATACTTATATCCCCTTTACCATTCAGTGTATATGTATGTTATATACAAATACAGGGTCTGGCACAAATAATGCCTCTTTTTATCACAAAGTCTTTTATTATAACCATAAGCATATAATTCTGTAACATAACAATATCACACTCAAGCACACCATATGACATTTTAGGTGAAATGTTCAAATTAAAAGTATTAATTTTTACACCCATATTATTATCCTACCAACCATGCTCAAGCAGGCATTACTTCTGCTGGACCCTATATATGTATGATATCTGCAAATCCACAGCCACAAATATGCATAACATGCATAATTTTCTTCTTTAGCTGAATATGTATATAAAGAAAATAAATGAATAACCATTATTATACCAGAGAGCAAACTACTCAGTTGAGACCTCCAAGTCACCAGACAGTTCACATGCCTAGTTGTTGATGCATGTTCTGAATGAATGTGACTGTCTAAAGACTTTGTTTTATTTTATAACAAGTGACAAAATCAACAACATTGTCCATAATTACATGAAAGTGATTAATTCAACATTCTTGATATCTTAAATGTGATTGTAAGGAATTACTGAGAGATGGGGGTTGGGGGTGGGTTGAAGGTCATTTAGCCTGAGCCTTCTAACTTGAAAGGACTTCAAAGTGTGGCTGCGCCTCAGTGAGTTAGCCTTGTTACAGATATCCATTTCAGGCCTGCAAGATACTTTCCGTATTTTTTAGAGCTCCATGGCTTCTAATTACAGGGATTGTAGCTGCTAATTCCCACACTGTGTCGACCCAGTCTCCCTAAGAAACAAGGGAGAGAATCTTTTTGCGTAATCAATACAGTATTTCTGAATATAACAAAAGTAAGTGTTTTAATTACAAACATCCTCCAATTTTGTTGTTCCACACCATGCAAGCAATTGCTATTGTATATATTCATTTTTATAGCTTTATAATTCATTTAGGATGTCTTCCTCTATATCTTATATTAACTTTTCAATATTTTTAAAATTGTTTATATAAAATAGAAGCACTTCACACTCAGTTTTTTATTCCCTTGCTTTTAGTCCATGAACTTCCTCCTTAATCTCAGCCCTATATATATATATATATTTGTGAATTTTTTTAATACTCATAAAATACACATTTTAATCTGCAATTTATAAAAGAGATAACTACTATTAACTATACGTAATATTAAAGAAATTATTGAGGTTAAAACATAACTAATGAACACACTGAATTTAGGGTTTATGGTATCATAAAATTAAGTTTTATTAATAATTTGATTGCTATTCCTCCCTAGGTCTGACATGTAATCCTAGGTAAAAAATCTTACTGATCCTTAATTCAGTAAGGAAGGGTCTGGGGACTATAAAACCTTGCAGGGAGATAATGTGCTTCCTGTGTTCATAAACCTCAAATATTTCGGAGTTCTTCCTTCAAGTCCTCCTACTCCTTTTATTTTATTTGTATACACAATGTGAAATAGCTAATGACATTGTGTAAAGAGCTCTCTGGCAGCAGGGAATCTTGTAGATGTGAATTCTGGGGGTGGCGATTTGATACTAGAATTCAAGAGACCATGCAGAGACAAACTCAGTGCATTTCCCATTATCTTCCTTCTAGGTTAGTTTTTTTTTCCCCTCTAAGAAATGCCTTGTTTTGAGCTGATTGTTTGGCTTCAGGTTAAAAATAATTTGCATCTCTTTTCTTTTTATTAAAAAAAAAATGAAATGATCTAAGTAGATATATGCCCTAAACTAGATAAGCTTCTGCAAAATTTTGCATCATTTAGCATGTTGCATGCTTTATCTGGCATCAGCTGGAATTTGTTTAGGTGATGATATGTTCATTTTGGTATCAGGGAAAAAACAATAATATATCTTACAGAAAAGTAAACATTTGAAAGAAGTCATACCATATTATAAAGCTAAATACTTAAGAGATTATTTTTTAGAAAAAAATCATATTTGTGGTTATAATCTTCCCCACTGATTTGATATAATGTAATGGAGAGAAGCTTGTAAAAGTTAAATAAAGCAGCTTCATCTATTTAAAGTTTTATTCAATAAGTATTTATTGAGTATTTAATGTGTTGTTCTAGTGTTGCAAATAGAACAGAAAACAAAGCAGACAAAATCCTTGACTTCATGGAGTTTGCATTTTAGTCCTTGACATGAAGGTAGCATACTCTACAATAAAATACACATTATGATATCCCTCTTCTTTTGAGAAACTGTTAAAGCAATGTTCAGAGAAGTTCTTTGGCTAAATTATGTATCAGGCCACATGGTGATTCAGCATCTTTTCCCCAGGTATAAGGAGGGTCCATTTTGACCTCAAAACGAATGATAAATCTCGGACTACAAGTAAGTTACTCAAATGATTTCGGTGCAGACATTGAGGATAAGGAAATAAAAAGGCAAGCCCTATTCTCGAGCTGCTTACAGTGTAATGGAAGGGACAGATGAGTGATATTAACAATTGCACACCTCTGGGCAAGCACACACACAAAGACTCAAAGGAACAGAGGGGCTTCCAGCCCTAGTCAGAGAGAAAGGGGTGGCAGTTGGGGAAGGGAATCAGGAAAACTGTTCTGAAAAATGTTAAGCCTAAACTAAGTCTGGAAAAATGTGTAAGCATACTCAGCTAAAACAGGAATAGGAGGGTATGTCAGACAAAGGAATAAGTGTGAGCAGAAGACAAAGAACAGTATATAAACTGGAAAAAGATGGGGTAAGATGGTGGAAGACTGAATGGAAGTCACACTGACTTATTCCCAGGACCAATCTGGAATTACGACTAATTGTGGAGAAATCACCTGGAACAAACATCTGAGCAATAGCGAGAGGAAAGCCCTATAACCTTGGACAGATAGAAAATCAGCTTTAGCACAACCTAACTGGTAAGGAGCATGGTAGAGATTCAAGAAGGCAGGCTGGGTGCCCATGGTTGGCAGTGCCAAGGGATATTTAACGACCAGTTGGATACCCCTGAGAAGAGTGGGGTCTAAACCAAAAGTGGGGATCTCCAGCCTGCAGCACCAGAGCCCAAAAAGCACACAGATGACAGCCAGCTGTGAAAAGCAGCAGGGTTGCTTTCTGCCAGAGACAGGCGGCTGGAGATAAAAAAAAGATGTTTAAAGGGCCAACGCATAAATTTTTATTTGCAGTCACTTACACTGGGCTCTGGTAAAGGCGGGAGCAGAGTGGGCTAGAGACACCTGCAAAGAGACTGGGGAAAGAGGCTTTGGGGAGATAACTTAGGGAATAGCTGGCAAGATCCCATTGCTGAGTCATTGCCCATATGGCAGCAGCCATCCTGCTTGGGCAGACCACTGCGCTGAGTGGCAGCAGCGGCAGAGGAAATAATATCCCCATCCCAGGAGGCTCTGCCCTGGCCTGGTGGTGCTTAAGCCTGGCTGCTGACTACAGTGGTAGTCACAGATAGTAGATCCCTGGATACAGGGGGCTCAGAGTGGTCTAGAGATCCTTGAGAAGAGACTGGGGAAGAGGGTTTTGGGGAGAGAATGGAGAGAGTAGCCAGTGGGATCCCAGTGCTGATTCCTCCCCTATACGGCAGCAAGCAAGTGCTCCAGCA